GCAGTTACAGATACACGCTGCCCTGACCTTCCCTCCTTTATCAGCAGCACCTGACAATAGTTTTGATCCAAGCCAAAAAGCAAATTTGCAAAACAGGAGCAACTAAAATATCACCGAATTAATACTCAGAATCCCATTTGAAGTCTTTTTCCACACAATAATTATCCAGCCTTTACATAATGAGATGAAAAACACTTTTCACTCTAAAGCAGGACACCCAAAGAAGTTCGCAATGAATTCAGATGCATATTAAAAGAGATGTGGAAACTAACAGCTGTTAAATACTAGCACTAATTATGATACTAATGTCCTCAAACTGAAGAATGATCATATTGGAATGGAAAAGTTATTCTACCTCAGAAGAGTTTATTATCTCTTCAAAAGCAAGTAGTGGAGCTCTGCATACAAAAATCAATATTTAGTATTCAACTGAATCTGTCAGGAAACTCCCCGAAAATCTGATAGTCTTTAAAAGTACACAACACAGAGACACACAGAGCCAATCATGTAAGTTTCCCATTGTTATTTATTATTTGAGAATATTTTCTCTGCCTCAAAAAAATCTTAAAAACAGATGGTTTTTTTCTGATTATGCAATAATTTTTTAAAGGATTAACCTAATTAAAATCTCTGCTGCCACCACCGCCACATGGCTTTTTCTGCAGCTGCCAAACCGAGTCTTCTGGCAGTGGCCGCTCTGGGTGTACGCTCTATGGTTGTGGGTCAGCTGCCGGCAGAGCGTACAACCATAGAGGGTACGCCTAGAGCAGCCACTGCCGGAAGACTCGGTTTGGAAGCCGCAGAAAAAGCTATGGGGCAGCGGCAGCAACAGCAATGGAGGTTCTCTGCCTCTGCGGGGAGAGCTCGGACAGGGCATCGTGAGGCTGGGAGGCGCGCAAGTGAGAGCGGAACAGCTGCTCCTGTAACCCCTCTCTCCAGCAGTGCAGAGCGCCATTCACTGGCATTTCAAAGGCGCCAAGCCACGGGAGCTGGGCGGAGGCAAACAGGTGCTCATGCGGCTTGGTGATACCCCTAGGCCAGTGAATGGCCCTATGCCCGGCTGGAAAGGGGGTTTGCTGGGTGGCTGTTTGGGAGCGTGGTTGCTTCATGGCTGCTGTGTTGCACTGCTGCAACAGCGCAACAAAGCCATTCGGCCATGAGGCCGTGCGCGGCTCTTTGGGAGCCCGCTCGGAAGAGAGCAGCCGCCCGGCAACCCCTCCCCTCATAATAAAGCCCAAGCCATATTTTGTGACTAAAAAGAAAATAAGACACTGTCTTATTTTTGGGGAAACACGGTAATGAGTTTGGTTAATAAAATGAAAAATGCATCATTCAGTCTTCCAGCATAAAATTACACATACAAGGATAGCATATTTTATCAATGGAGTTGTGGTAGATGGAAATTCATTTCATGAAAGTTGCTTCTTCCCACATACATACAGAGAGCACTTTTTCCTACAACAATTTTTCAGAGAACACATGAAAAGAGCCAGTTTGATCCAGTAATGAAGGTATTGATCTAGAAAACAGCAGACTGAATTCTTGTGCCACCTTAGCCATGAAAGCCGGCTGGGTGACCTTGGGCTAATTAATTTTTCTTAGCCCAACTCACCTCACAAGGTTGTTGATGTGAGGAAAATAGGAGGCGGGGGGAAACATTAGATATGTTCACCCCGTTCCTTTATTATTTTTATAAAATATTCAAGATATAAATAAATAAAGGCAGTCAGATATAGACAGGAGAGAAGAATCTTTGCCTAAAATATGTATGTTAATAAGGCAATACTTCCAGTAATGTAAGGGTAATTTCATTGCTCAATTTCAGAACAACAAAGGAATACATCCTTATGTTGCCAACTGAATGTAAAACAATCCAGTATTCCATAGGGGTGATCCTTTATTATTATTTTTCCTGGAACATACTGACCTGGAAGTTGTTCAGCTCTGGAAGTATATGCGAGAGGGGGACCTAATGTAATGGAGCACAAGGAGCACAATCCAGAAAGGGGGCCAGACAAGAGACAGCACAGGCCAGAGCTACATAGAAAACAGAGGGGGGGGGGGGGAATAAGGATAGCCACTCCCTACAATCTCCCAGGGCATAGGATGACAGTAGTTAAGGATTTAGCCTGCAAGATTCTGACTACGGGTGTAAGCAAATAAAGAAGTGAACTCTGGCTGAATTTCTCTTCATTATCCTTAGGCTTAGCTGGACAGTAGGGTTTTCAGGATATGACCAGGCTGAGCTTGAGGGTGGTGGGGCCAAAGGAATCATCAATTTGGAGTTGTTCTGCTCTCACAAAGAGACCTAAGTCCAGACCCTCTTGAATTCCGCTGTTCTTATCTAGCGCCAATTTTCCTTGACCGTTAGTAGATCAGATTTTTGT